TTAAAGGCAAAACAAATGCGGGCGAAACAAATGTAGGCTAATACAGGCCCGTAGCCAGCCTTGTGAAAGGGGTGGTTCTTTTTGTTGACCTTTTTTTGAGTCATTCACCTCATTTACAATGTATGGGATTTAAATACTGTATTTTAGTGAGATTTTAAGCACTATTTTAGCTGGGTTAGCTTGTTAGATCGTCATCATAATGACACATTTAATGTACCAAAATATTTCCTAAAGATATAGAGTAAAGAAAAATTAATAAATACCTAATAATAAATAGCTTCAGCCTACAAACTGGCCAGAACATTCAACTGTCCTCAGTCAGAATTTGGCTATTTGAATAATACAAGATTAAAACATAATAATAATAATATAAGAGCTTCACTATTTCCTAGCCTCTCTTGTAAAAAAGTACATTTGATTTGATTGAAAATTCATGGACAACAAAAATAGCCAAATTAGTTTTCACATTAATTTTAATTTAGGATTCTGCTTGGTTTTAAAGCCTTTTTCAATGGATCAATTTGACTATTTATGATGGCATAGAAGTCAAAATAATACAAGTGAGCTCATGTATGGGAGTGGGTCTTTTGAACCATCTGAACCAGCCTGATCTCACGAGAAAACGTAAGTATTTTACAATTTGCCAGTTTAGTCGTACAAAATGGTAAGATTTTAACAAGGAGGCGTGGCACCTGACCCCACCCCTAACCCCAACCGTCATTGGGGGATAAGCAAATCATACTAAATTGTACGAATTAGATCGTACGAATTCATACGAATTAGCCACTAAATGAAAAAGTTACGAATTGCCGTGAGATTGTGTTGTCTGAACCCCCTCTGGCTACAGGCCTGCAATACATGATGTGCAAACCATGAGTCTGTGCAAGAAACTTTTTACAGCAATACTACACACACAAAAACACACACTGAGAGTATCTCGCTTGAGTGTAAGAACTCAACAATTTTAAATATATATATATATGTGTGTGTGTTTGTGTTTGTGTGTGTGTGTGTGTGTGTATATATATATATAGTGAGTATACTGTAAGTACTAATTGGAATAGGAAACATTTTGAATACATACTCAGTCCTGTAGCCAGGGGGGCTTCAGGTAGTTTGAGAGACCCACCCCTCACTGACAGGTCCAGAATTTGTCCCATTCATGAGCTTATTTATCCTAATTTGTCTGCTATGCCTTTATAATTTCTGGAAAAAAAAAAACATTGAAAAAAGCTTTAAGACCAAGTGAAGTCATCTTTTTGCTACTCTTTTGTTTTTAAATAGAGAAAACATTTTACAAGTAACTTTTATTCTTAATCTTGGACTTATTCTTGAAACAAAAATGGAGCAATAAAGTTAATAAAAGCGGTCCATATTATCATTAATTTGAATACTAATTTGGTTGTTGTTATCCATGATTTTTCAAAATGTACTTTTTGTTTTACAAGAAAAATCACAAAGCTCTACATTATTGTATTTCATTCATTCATTTTCTTTTCAGCTTAGTATCTTTATTAATCAGGGAAACGCCACAGCGGAATGAATCACCAACTTATTCAGCATATGCTTTATCAGCATATGCCCTTCCAGCCGCAACCCATCACTGGGAAACACATAGACTACGGCCATTTTAGCTTATTCAGTTCACCTAAAGCGCATGTGTTTAGACTGTGGGGGAAAATGGAGCACCCAGGACACCCACATGAACACAGGGAGAACATGCAAACTCCACACAGTGCTATACACTGCGCCACCATGACGCCCCTTTTTTTGTTTGTAAATAGAGAAAACATTTTTACAAGTAACTCTTATTCTGAATCTTGGACTTATTTTTGAAAGAAAAATGGATCAATAAAAGTTGTGAAGCACCAAAAGCCATATTACAGTTCATTTCAATTCTAATTTGGATGTTGTTGTTATCCATGACTTTTTTTACAAGGAAAATCATGAAGCTCTAAATTATTCTTATAATAATAATACTAATAATAATTATTATTTTTATTAATATTATTATTATTATATAATTATAACAATAAGTATAATAATAATAATTATTATTATTATTATTATTAATATCATTACAATAATAATAATAATAATTATTATTATAATTATTATTATTAATATAATAATAATAATAATAATTTTTATTATTTTTATTTATAATAATAATAATAACAATAATAATAATAATAATAATAATAATAATACATGACTTTTTTTACAAGGAAAATTATGAAGCTCTAAATTATTCTTATAATAATAATACTAATAATAATTATTATTTTTATTATTATTATTATATAATTATAATTATAGTAATAATAATAATAATAATTATTATTATTTTTATTATTATAATTATAATATAATTATAATAATAAGTATAATAATAATTAATATTATTATAATAATTATTCATATAATTACAATAATAATAATTATTATTATTATTGTTTTTATTATATAATAATACTAATAATAATCCATGACTTTTTTTACAAGGAAAATCATGAAGCTCTAAATTATTTTTATAATAATAATACTAATAATAATTATTATTTTTATTAATATTATTATTATTATATAATTATAACAATAAGTATAATAATAATAATTATTATTATAATTATTATTAATATCATTACAATTATAATAATAATTAGAATTATTATAATTATTATTATTAATATAATAATTATTATTATTATTGTTTTTATTTATAATAATAATAATAATTATTATTAATATTATCATTATTTATTTTATTCAAATGGCCAAGTTCTGACTGAGGACAGTTAAATGTGCTGGCCAGTTTGTTACTTGCCTAATAAATGACAACAGGCTACAGTTTTTAATTGAAAAACTGAACAGATTTGTATTATTTTTTAATGATGTATAATGTAATGAACTTGTATTTTAAAAATAAACATTTATTCATTCTAAAGTATATTCATATCTACATTTTAAGGAAATATTTGGTACATCAAGAAGTGAGGTTATGATGACCGTCCAAGCTAATACAGCTGATAACAATGCTTTAAATGTGGTATTTAAACCTCATAGTTAAATAGGAAATGTGGCGAATAACTGCAAAAAGATCCACTTTTTGAGAAAAAAAGAAGCACAAGTTTCAGCAGGCTGGCTACGGGCCTGATATTAATGAGTATTGATTGATACAAATCATAGAAAAGGTCATTATGTTACCAATAATAGTGTGATAGTGAGAGGCGCCTAAGAAATACAAGCTGTTGTGTAATCAATAATACTACAGACCTATTGATTGGACCATAGAAACCCAATGAATATTTACCATGATATCTAAGCATTCTAGACATCCATTTTATTGTATATTTAGACAGAAAAATATATAAAACTTCTACACTGAAAAAAAAAAAAAAAACACAAGCAACAAATTAGCCATGAAAAAACAAGCCATTTTTTGTATTTTTACATCTTCAAAGATCATTCTGATAACAAAAAATATACATTATTTCTGAATTTAAGGAATACTTGTCCAACACAAGGATTCTGCACTGTTCAATGTTCAAACTATACATGCCGCATATCCCTAGCCAGGGGTGAGGGGTTCCGGGGGGTTTGATAGTCCCACCCACCACTAATAAAGTCCAGAATTTGACCCCTATATGAGCTCAATTGTCTAGTTTCTTTACAGTATGCCATCATAAATTGTGAAAATAACCAATTGAAGAATGCTTTAAGAAGAAGAATAAATAAAATAACCAACAAAAGAAGGCGTTCATGATTTAAATGGACAATGTCTGACTGAGGAAATGAACTGGACAGTTTGTTATTTGCATATAGGCCACAGTTTTAATTTTAAAACAACTTTAAACAGATTTTTTTTGTTTTTGTTTGTTGTTTATGATGGATGATAATAAATTAGCATTTTAAAAATAAGTGTTTTTTTCATATTTCTAAAATTCTAATCTCATTAGGCCATCCCGAGACCCTCAGACTATGCAGCGCCACTGATTCGATCCAAGACCAGCGACGAGATGATCCCAAGGTTTCCATAATCCTGGACCAGGCCGTATCCTGAGCAGCTGCTGTGGTGGTCATGGAGGAGTGGAGAGCATGAGACTGAATCCTGTGATGCTCCAGGCACAGGCGAGTCTTGCTGAGGTCCAGCTTCCAGCGCCTAGACTGCAGCTCTGCACAAGACGTTTGGCCAGTGGAGAAATTAAAATGGTCGTGCCCAACTGAGCCTGGTTTCCCTCAAGGTTTTTTAATTCTTCACTTTCGTCAGTTCGTGATGTTTTTTCCTCGCCGCTGTCTCCACTGGCTTGCATGGTTCGGGATCTGTAGAGCTGCGCATCGATGAATTTGCTCTTCAGTGTTTGGACTCTCAGTAGTGATTATTAAACCACACTGAACTGAAATTAAACTCTGAAAACTGAACTACACTGTTTACATTTACTAGGATCTTTAATGTGGAGCTGCTTTGACCCAATCTACATTGTAAAAGCGCTATACAAATAAAGCTGAATGGAATCACAATATATATAATAACTCACAGTTTAAATGCACAATTGTAAATAAACACATTTTAAACACAAAAATAGTATGATAAGCGCTGCAAATAAGCAAACCGATAAAAATATAGAAAGTATTTTTGTTGCATCAAAAAGTGTGGTAATGACAACCATCCGATAGACAAATCCAGCACAAATTATTGCTTAAATGCACTAAAATGCAGTATTTGAACCTCATAATTTGAGGTGAATAACTATAAAAGGTCCACTTTTTGAAAAAAAAAAGAGCCACTCCTTTTAATAGATTGGCTACGAGCCTGCATACTGCATTCATTTGCACTGTTAAACATGTCAAACAATCGAAACATTGATACATGTGTAGATATGTGCATGCATATAGACACAATAACAGCTCCGGAGCATCCTCTACCCCAACCCACCAAACCCACCCCACCCCACCCGCGGGGCAATGTCTCAGAGCACGTCACCGCGAGTGTGTGAGGAAGGAGAGAGAGAGAGAGAGTGAGAGAGAAAGAGAGAGAGAGAGAGATGTGTGCAGACAACCTGCTCGCGCGTAATTCTGGGAGGACTCTCCGCCGAGCAACGACACAATAAACACTCACGGAACCGCAAGAGTTTCCCCAGGTGGAGTAACAATAAGCACTTCAATCACGTCACACCATCCATCCAGCCAGGAGTCCATCATCAATCTGCAGCCATGTATCTCAACAGGGAGGAGGAGTACAGCAAAGGTAAGCGCTTTTACGTGTGTTGCCATTAAACTTGTAGGAGTATCTCCTGCTCACCTTGGTCCGGTGCTGCCCGTGGCGTGCTTTATTCATTCGTTTGTATTTGTGTGCACGAGCTGGTTGGTAAGCTGGGCATCGTAAGCAGCACCTGTCAAGGGGTCATCACTTCTTTGCCCCCTTGTTTTACATCATTGTCCGAGCGCACGCACAGGCGCGCGCGCGCACTAATGACAGTTTGACATTGTCACGCGCTTCCAGTGCATTTGCAATGACAGCGATCGCTGTTGCATGGCGTTTTTTTGATAAATAACTTTCATTCGGGGTCCCGCGAAGGCTGCTGTTGCATAACGATACGTGCATGCCTTCTTATCGATCGGGGCTACTTGTTGTGCGCTTCGCCCTTGATAGATGCTCACATGAAGAAGGACAAGCGACTAAAACACAAGGTCAAAGCGTCTCAAAGCGGGCTACAGACGGTGCTCTGTTATGCGCATCACCCTACGCGAGTCTTGGTGTTATTGTCAATGTGTATGATGATTCCGTGGGCGTTTTGCTGGGGTATCGTGGGATGTTATTTGTGTCAGCTCTCCCACGTGTTTCCGAAGCGTGATTCCCCGTGAATTCACTGGGTGTCCACTACAATTTTCCCCGGTGTCCCTCCCACGGTAAACGAATTCGCTTCGGGGCTCCGGAACGGAGGTGACTGGAATTAAGAGTGGAGGCGCGTCCGGGCTCCGCCAGCAACACCTGCTGCTACACCGAGAGCCACAAAAGACAGCGTTTGATATGGGGTAATGGCCGTGAGGAGATAATCACCATAGCGTGAACGAAACTGGGGGTTTGGATGAAAAGGTGTTCAAGGATGAGCCCTCAAATATTAGGCTAATGCAAGACAACAAGAGCTAGAATTTTAAAAAAATGTGTTAAATTAGATTCCACCAGGTCTTTTAGGTGTTGACAGCTCGTTCAGATTAACCCCCATTATCAAAACTGATGAGTGTTTCCAAAAATAACCAATAGTGTAAATGGAAACAGTCTATGGCTACTGGTGTAAGAGTCTAATTAAAGCATCATTTACTAATTAAGATTCAATTTATTCAATCTACGAGCATTCCCAATGAAAGGATTCAATCCTTTTTTGTCTTTATTTTGTCCTCTTTTTCTTTCTTATCTTATCACAATTTGCACCCACTTGATTCAATCTCAACTATTCGATTGTTTTGAATCAAAGTTTGCTGGTTGCATTATCACTCCTGCAGATGGCGACAATTGAGTCATTCACCAATCCAAAAAAGTATTTTTTGAAAATGTTTGCTTTGAAAAAAAGCAAACAAGAATTATGAAGGTATTTTAAAAGCCTGTTGATTATTTTGTTCACGTCTCATCACTTTCAGTTCGCTCACAAATTAATATTACGTGTTCATATTTAATATCTTGTTCAGATTCAAACAGTGACTCGTCTAGCCCAGGGGGCGTATACCTTTATCACCAACCAATGAAATTATTCCTCAAAGAAAAGCTCTTGAATGCTATTGGCTCGTTCCACAGGACAGGTGTTTGTTGTTAAACCAACGCCAACATGGCCTAGCCTACAGTCCAGCAGTAGATGCATTCAATCAGTTGGGATTTACGGTCACTAAGGTAACTGAAAACCTTCACGAGTTGGAGAGTGTGTCTGTTGATGGTTTCTGATGTGATTTATGAAGTTAATTCATTAAGTATAACTCATGAAGTAGTTTGTTTGTTGGAGGCAGGAAAAATACGTGACAGAGTTTATCTCCTTTTTTATGCTGCTTCACCGAGAGCCACAAAAGCAAAACACGGTGTTTGATATGGGGTAATGGCCGTAAGGAGATAATAACCGTAGCGCGAATGAAACTGGGGGTTTGGATGGAAAGGTGTTCAAGGATGAGCACTCAAATATCATGCAGGACAACCAAAGCTGGAATAAAAAAGATGCTAAATTAGATTCTACCAGGTCTTTTAGGTGTTGACAGCACATTCAGATTAACCCCCATTATCAAAACTGATGAAGGATTCTTAAGTGGTTTCCAAAAATAACCAATAGTGTAAATGAAATTCTTTGATTACTGGTGTATGAGTGTAAGTCATGCATTATTTACAAGTTAAGATACAATTTAGTCAATCTACGAACAATTCCAATGAGTATGTTTAATCATTTTTGTTTGTATTTTGTATTTTTTTTTTTTTCACAATTTAAACCCACTAGATTTAATCTCAACTACTTGATTCTTTTTAACCAAACTTTGATGACTGCATTATAACGCCTGCAGGTGGCGACGATCGAGTCATCGAGTCACTCACCTATTAAAAAGTATATATATTTTTTACTTTTCTTTGAAATAAAGCAAACTTTAAGAATTATAAAGGTGTTTAGAAGCCCTTAGATTGTTTTGTTCATGTGACATCATGTTCATTTGATCATGTTCAAATTTAAACAGTGACTCGTTTAGCACAAGGGGCTACCTGTAGCACCAACCAATGAAATTCTTTCTCAGAGAATGAACTTGAATGCCTTTGGTTCGTTCAACTGGACAGGCGATATTCTGAATCATTCAGTTGCTCCAAAAATCATTGATTTTGAAACAAACCAACGCCATTATCAACTACAGACAATATTCATCCAATCAGTCGGGATTTATGGTCACTCAGGTAACTGAAAGCCTTTATGAGTTGGAGAGTTTGATTGTTGATGGTTTAATTGAATGGGAAGTGATTTATTAAGTTAACTCATTTAGTATTTCAACATAATTCTTTATGCGTCTCAATGTGTGAGGTGGGAAAAGTACATGACAGAGTTTATCTTTATGAGTCATTCTTTTTTTTATGCTGCTACCCGAAATGCCAATGAGAAGGTTCAACCATTTTTGTTCATATTTTGTAATCTTTTTCTTATCACTATTTGCACCTACTAGATTTAATCTTAACTACTCCATTCCTTTGATTTAAAGTTTGCTAGTTGCAGTTTTACACCTGCAGGTGGCGATGATCAGGTCATTGAGTCATTCACCCATCAAACAAGTATTTAAAAAAAAAACTGCTTTGAAATAAAGCAAACAAAAATTATAGAAGTATTTCAAAAGCCGTTAATTTATTTTGTTCGTCATATCACTTTCAGTTCACTTACGAATAGTATGGCTTCATTTGATCCTGTTCACATTCAAACAGTGAAGCTGCGATCACACTGGACTTTTCTCCCCATAGACTTCCATTCATACGCATGCGAATGCGTCAGACCGGAAACGCAAGGTCATGCATCAAGTTGCGAAATCGAATCACTTGACTGCGTGAGACCAATCAAAGATCAAAACATGACCTCCCTGTACAGAAATTTAAAACATGGACCAATCGCTCTCTTTTTGTAATCCTAATCATCTAATCCCTCCCCTGTTCGCAGCACTGCACGACAGAATTTTGCATTGTCAAAATCTAGTGTGACCGCAGCGTGATTTGTTTAGCACGGGGGGCGCATACCTGTAGCACCAACCAAAACAGTTCTTCCTCAGAGAGTGATCTTGCTATTGGCTCGTCTGTCAGGCGTCTGTTGCGTGATATTCCAAATCAAAAACGATTCATTCCCTTCAAAATTCCTGTCGTCTTTTATAAACAAATCAACGCTCAATTAGTAGCATTGGTATTTACTTTCAGTCATGTAACTAAAAGCCTTTACGAGTTGGCGAGTGCGTTTGTTGATAGTTCAATTGACTGGGAACTGCTTTATGTTAACTCATGAAGTATTTCGCATAATTCTTCATGCGTTTCAATGTGGAGGCGGGAAAACACATTACAGAGTTTATCTTTACAAGTTATTCTTTTGTTGTTGATTTATTCATTTTAATTAATTGAATGATTATAAGCTTTTGGAGATGTTATTAGGCTACATAAATGATCTCAACCATGGTTTTTTTGAAGACCTAGCTCCTAATTATGTTTGATTAAAAAAATTAAAAATGTTTAATAATATATCTTGTTTTGAGGAACGAATACCCAATCAGGAACAGACTGTAGATATTAAACACAATCTGGAGCTTCACCCGCTCTCCTACTGTTCCTGTGAGACATATTTAACTTTCATGCTTGTTACTCTTCCTTTAATGACTTGTTTTTAATAAATACAGATGACAGTACAAATGTGATATTGATTAATTAAGCTTATCTCTTGTAGGAAGTCATGGATTGCGTCTGCACAGCTTCATGGGCTATGATAAAGTTTAGGGGATTGAAACATCAGGTTTGAAATTGATTATTGTTTCTCGGGGTGTGTGTTTCATTGATTGGTGGTGTTGATAGATGAATCCACTCACCGGAATGGACCAAATATTGAAGATTGGAAGGCTAAATGTAAAAATCCAAGGATTGGTTTTCATTTATCAGTTCCAGCCTCGGCCCTTATGCTGGATAGCTTTGTGTATGTGTGTGCGTGATTATATTGGATGAAGAAGTGGACAGATTGTGGATGATAAGTGAGGGAATGGACCAAACACTGAAAAAAAAAAAAGTGTATGTGTGTAAATATGGATGTGTCACCGAGGCACAGAAGATGACAGGAGGGGTATAATGTGCCCAAATGATTGACAGTTCATGTATTATTCATGCAATCCTGTTGATCTGCAAGAGAGATAGAGTGATGGAGAGACACAGACAAACAGAGACTAAAATAAAGAGAGACAAATTGTCTTCGCCTCCATACACTGTTGAAGACTGTTCATTTCCAACGACTGTATTTAAATCAACTGTCAAATCGACATGATTTTTTGGGGTTAAACTTCTGCAGTACAGTAAAGTTTTCGTTTTCAGCTAACATTGAGTACTTGCAACAAACGGTTAATGTCTAGTGAATCTGAGGCTCCTTTAGAAACGTTACTAGTTGTATAATTACTCCATATTTAATTGAATGAATGATTTTTATTTAAGATCATTGGTGTTTTTGTTTGTTCCAGTTGTTCATGAATTAGTTTGCGTTCCCATTCAGTTCAGTTGCA